GCACGATGTGGATCACAGGATAATAAATAATTAATTAATATCCATTAACGTGATGTGAGCACGTCTGTAGTTGTTTAAAATATTTCTCCGCAGTTGTTGAAGACTTTCGGACAATAGTTCCTTGCGACGATCGCATATGGAACGTCACTGTCTACGCGGACCTTTTCGTTCATGCTGAGCTTGTTCCACACGTGGATAGCCCGTGCTTTCTTCACCGCTTCCATCGTTGAATTCTTGTACTGACTCTCAAAATATTTTCTCCAACTAGAGTAATGGATCGGATAGAAAGACGAGGGAGGAAGGAGTTCAAAACCATTACAGCGCTCAATGGTCATGTTCCAAACCTGAAAAAAGTACGAACTGTTTCTGTACATATTTACATAGGCATACATCGTTATTTTTCTCAAATTTTCAAACAAGGTTTAAATATTTTATTCATTAAAAATGAATTTTCTGAAGTTATTCTTTTAGAGTTACTCACGTTTTTCGTAGAGCAGAGATTCTCCAACATTCTCGTGATTACTCCGGGGCCATTATGGCCCCAAATATCGCCGCGGAAATTGTTTCTCAAATCGTTAATGCAAATGTCAGCTACACGTCGACCCAACGTCGAACCACTGAACCCTATAGCACCGGCACCCACTATCGAGTCCTGGATACCAGCGAAATTTGTTAAATCTTCTAAGCATCTGATAATAGAAAATACATCTTAAACACGTACAGGGATATCAGTTCTGAATAAAATACATATAAAACAGTATACGTTTACTCGAATTTAGAGAATACATATCGTTGTTAGTATATACTGTTCAAACGAGGCTAATATTGCGCTTACGTTGTGACAACGACGTCTAGGTCCAAGTATATGCCTCCGTACCTCCACAGCGTCAGATACCTAAGAGCATCGGACATATGCGACATTGGCCAATGACTCTTATTCCACGCGCCTTCTTCATACCACTTTTCCAGCGGCGTGTCTTTCATGTATTTGTTTAAATAGACACGTCTTATTCGAACGTTTGGATAGTTTTCCAATTGATCAAAGAACTTCCTCGTTTGATTCGCATTCGTCGAATGGGAGACGAGCAACAGGTAAACGTTCATGTTCGGATTCATCTTAGCGGCAGACTCGACTGCACAAGCTTGACGAACATTCAACATCAAATCTACTTTGGCAATACCTGATGTTTCGATGAAGAAAATGTTCTTGTCCAATACGGGCTCGTCTGTTGTTGATCAGGACAGAAGACAATGTGCGTTTTAGGTTTTGAAGCTGACAAGCGCACACAACTAATTGCGATAAAATTTTACATTATCATCTTTGTGTTGTGTGCATAATGATAGCATCATTCATCAGTAGACTATTGAATTCATTGAGAAATTATGAAGAGATAACGAATGCTTTCAATGTAAAATATGCACATATTATAGATATTAAAAAATGAATATTGCAGATATTAAAAAATGAATATATTACTAAATATTGCGATGTGAAAATCATAAAAGAAATGTTGATTTAAAATGCATTTTGTTATTTGTTATCATGAACATTTTATTTTGTATAAAAACCCGTAGTTTTACGTTATATTTAAAATGTAAAGCATTAGCAAAATAGTTTCATAATGAGTTATTGTTACATTAATAGCGTGACTTATCTAAATTGATTAATTGCCTTCGACGATTTAACTACGATTTTTTATCATACTGAGAAATTTTTATTCGACGTGCATACCTAATTCCAGGTCTGAACCTGAGAGGCTCTTTGCTGTCTCAGGTGTCACATTGTTAACGTCACCGGTTTCCACAAATAATGATAATCGTTGAACAAAAGTTCTGTCCACCATTAGCATCATCATCATTAGAGTGAAGATCATAAAACTAAAAATATAAAGTAGTAACTTCTTCTTCATTCTTCTTCTACACGCACCTTTTTTTAAAGCACTCCGCCAGAATTGATGTAACATGTACCACGAATGAGTTTCGAAGCTACAGTGGCGAAATGTTATCACTGCAGTGATGTGCATGATATTAACCGATTTGATAAGTATCAAGTTGATAGTATTAAGCGATGTACAATCCAGATAACGATATAAGTATATTATCTTTTTGGACATAGTTTCGCTTGTATTGAGTACACAATTCTTTATCACGAATATTTATGTGATTTCGTCACATATATTATTGTGCACCCACCGTACGTACAAATACGCCCATGAAGTATTCACACAAATCAATGTATATACATAAGAAAAGTTTGAAAAATCTAGTTCAAAGTGTAATGTTTCATATATACATATGTCGAAGCGTCCATATTATTAGAAAAACCCTTAAAGCCATCACTTGGAAGAGACATTATGCGTTTGGTTCTGAGTTCTTTAATTCATCATCGTTGGTTGTAGAGTAGTTATCGGGCATCGTTTTAACACGATAGTGAGTATAGTTATACGTTCGATTCAAATTTGTAGTTTTTAGGATATATCTATTTCCGTCTAATATTTTAACGATTTTGTATGGTCCTCTGTATTTAGAGTCTAGATTGGTTTGATTTCTTTCGTCATTAATATAATAGTACAAATTCTTCTAAGAAAAACTCATTTATTTTAGCTTTCTTGTATCTTATCATAGATTATCTCTTTTCCTGTAAGTATTACTCATTGCTTTTCTTCTAACTTCTTCTATATCTATTTCCGGTTCATTTTCGCTACAGAGCAGTACATTTAATTTTTACATGTAATTTCAAAAAACTTGTTGCAATTGACGCACCTCACTGCCGAAGGCTTCGTCTCTCGGTAAAGTTTGGCTAGATTTTCCTCTGACTGATTATTCCGTTCGACGAAAGATTTTTTTTAAAAAGATTATTGCCGCAGTATGCACATGAGAATTAAACTGGGACAGTTGACTTCGCGTCTGTTAGATCACATTGATCCCATCCGAGTTTTCCATAAACAGTTACGATGTTTAAACTCGTCGTTTCATCGTTCACATCGATATATAAATATCTATTAATAAACTGCGTTTTAAAATTCATTAAAACAACACAGTCATAGAAAAATTATCATTTTATTGTAATAAAACGTATACTTAAAATAAATAAAATATCTCGTAATATTCAGTACAAATCTTTATTATTATCAAAATATTATTCCAGAAAGATGTGAAAATCATAAAAGAAATGTTGATTTAAAATGCATTTTGTTATTTGTTATCATGAACATTTTATTTTGTATAAAAACCCGTAGTTTTACGTTATATTTAAAATGTAAAGCATTAGCAAAATAGTTTCATAATGAGTTATTGTTACATTAATAGCGTGACTTATCTAAATTGATTAATTGCCTTCGACGATTTAACTACGATTTTTTATCATACTGAGAAATTTTTATTCGACGTGCATACCTAATTCCAGGTCTGAACCTGAGAGGCTCTTTGCTGTCTCAGGTGTCACATTGTTAACGTCACCGGTTTCCACAAATAATGATAATCGTTGAACAAAAGTTCTGTCCACCATTAGCATCATCATCATTAGAGTGAAGATCATAAAACTAAAAATATAAAGTAGTAACTTCTTCTTCATTCTTCTTCTACACGCACCTTTTTTTAAAGCACTCCGCCAGAATTGATGTAACATGTACCACGAATGAGTTTCGAAGCTACAGTGGCGAAATGTTATCACTGCAGTGATGTGCATGATATTAACCGATTTGATAAGTATCAAGTTGATAGTATTAAGCGATGTACAATCCAGATAACGATATAAGTATATTATCTTTTTGGACATAGTTTCGCTTGTATTGAGTACACAATTCTTTATCACGAATATTTATGTGATTTCGTCACATATATTATTGTGCACCCACCGTACGTACAAATACGCCCATGAAGTATTCACACAAATCAATGTATATACATAAGAAAAGTTTGAAAAATCTAGTTCAAAGTGTAATGTTTCATATATACATATGTCGAAGCGTCCATATTATTAGAAAAACCCTTAAAGCCATCACTTGGAAGAGACATTATGCGTTTGGTTCTGAGTTCTTTAATTCATCATCGTTGGTTGTAGAGTAGTTATCGGGCATCGTTTTAACACGATAGTGAGTATAGTTATACGTTCGATTCAAATTTGTAGTTTTTAGGATATATCTATTTCCGTCTAATATTTTAACGATTTTGTATGGTCCTCTGTATTTAGAGTCTAGATTGGTTTGATTTCTTTCGTCATTAATATAATAGTACAAATTCTTCTAAGAAAAACTCATTTATTTTAGCTTTCTTGTATCTTATCATAGATTATCTCTTTTCCTGTAAGTATTACTCATTGCTTTTCTTCTAACTTCTTCTATATCTATTTCCGGTTCATTTTCGCTACAGAGCAGTACATTTAATTTTTACATGTAATTTCAAAAAACTTGTTGCAATTGACGCACCTCACTGCCGAAGGCTTCGTCTCTCGGTAAAGTTTGGCTAGATTTTCCTCTGACTGATTATTCCGTTCGACGAAAGATTTTTTTTAAAAAGATTATTGCCGCAGTATGCACATGAGAATTAAACTGGGACAGTTGACTTCGCGTCTGTTAGATCACATTGATCCCATCCGAGTTTTCCATAAACAGTTACGATGTTTAAACTCGTCGTTTCATCGTTCACATCGATATATAAATATCTATTAATAAACTGCGTTTTAAAATTCATTAAAACAACACAGTCATAGAAAAATTATCATTTTATTGTAATAAAACGTATACTTAAAATAAATAAAATATCTCGTAATATTCAGTACAAATCTTTATTATTATCGAAATATTGTTCCAGAATTATAGAAAACTCTCGGGCAATGTCTTCTTGCAAGAATCGCATATGGTACGTCGCTCTCTACGCGCACTTCTTCATCGTCGCTAAGTTTATTCCATAAGTGAATGACTCGCGCCTCTTTCACTAATTCAATTGTTCTCTCTTTCTCTTCGTCCTTAAAGTACATCGCCCAATTCGCGTAACGAATTGGATAAAAGATCGACGGAGAAAAAATTTCGAAACCATGACACCGCTTGGTGGTCAATTCCTCAACCTGAGAAAAATACAAACAATTTTCGTATATGCATTATTATTTTTCTTACGTTTCCAATAGCATAATAACAAACGAGATTTTAATTTCTCATAATTTTCTTGACTACTTTTGATATGTTCCACCTATCATCTACTACACTTACCTTCTTGGTGGAGCAAAATTTCTGTAACATTCGCGTGATTACTCCAGGGCCATTGTGAGCCCAACTGTCGCCACGGAAATTCATTTTCAAATCGTGAATGCAAAGAGTGGCCATAAATCGTCCCAATGGTGAACAGTCGAAACCGATAACAGCAGAATTCACAGTTTCCTCATCTTGAATACCAGCGAAATTTTTTAAATCTTCGAGAGACCTGACGAGAAACAATTTTCATTAATACGTTCAATCAAGTCGTTCAATCCAATCAAATTTAATACGTTCTCCTTTGACATGCGAACGTCATTTAAATACAACGTGAAACAACTGGGTTGACTAGGATTCCGAAGCATATCTGAATTCAACTTAATATTGTTCCTAGCACATTACGTTTAAAGAAGATTGGTATTGGGCTTACTTTGTGACAACGACGTCTAAGTCCAAGTATATTCCTCCGTACTTCCACAGCGTCAGATACCTAAGGACATCGGACATGTGCGACGTAGGCCATTCACTGTCCTTCCACGCGCCTCCTTTGTACCACTTTTCCAGCGGCGTGTTTTCCATGTATTTGTCTAAATAGACGCGTCTGATTCGAACATTCGGATACCTTTTCAACTGATCAAAGAATTTCGTCGATTGATTTGGAACCTTCGAACGGGAGACGAGCAGCAGGTACACGGTCATATTTGGATTCATTTTAGCGGCAGACTCGACCGCACAGCCTTGACGACTTTTCAGCATTAAATCTCCTTTCGTAATACCCGATGTTTCGATAAAGAAAATGTTCTTGTCCGATAGGGGCTTGTCTGTCAGTAATCAATATTTACGCGTGTTATCTTCCAATATTGTACAAATACTGTAGATAGTTAACTATTGTAAAGTTACATAATACTTTTGCATTGTGTGTTTGACTACATTCTGTATCATGTTATGTCATGAATGCGCGTTTCAAAGTGATAAAGCAATAGGACAACAGTCTACAAAATTTTCTTAATCACACGTAATGTGATACGTTTATATGCGATGCCTAATCAGTTTGATAGAGCTAATTAATTAGACGTGCATACCTACTTCCGGTTGTACGTCCAGAAGACTACCTGTCTTGTTGTTAGCATCATCGGTTGTCACAAAAAATGGTATACATTAAATTTAACGCTTCAGCACGTATTAATAATTTTTTAAAGTCGATGTATTTCATTTCTTATTAACACGCGTAGAGTCCGTCAAATCAGTTGAAGATTAAGATTCAAATTAAATGTATTTGTCGTGAAGGAAATTAGATTTAGTTTCGTATCGACATCTCACATTGAGTCCTCTTTTTTTATTTGGAGATCCGTTCTTGGTCCCTAACCGAAATCCAACTCAAGTAAATCGGTTTCACACTAATTATGAATATAGATGAACGTAATAAAACGTTAGTTAGAAACTTTGTACTAAAACCATCGGTATTAGAAGATATTCAATATGCCACTTCTAAATTCTTCTATGATCCTGACTATTATTCTTAATTAGTAATTAGATAGGATATAATTCGACGTACGTACCTGATTCCGCATCGAAATCTGGGAGATCATCCATGATGACGATTTTGTCACTGACATGCATTAATAATGACTCCTGTTGAAGGAAATTTCTGTACGTGAATACCATCACGATACAGAGTATGATGATACAAAAAGCGCTAAACAATAAGAGTTTCTTCATTCTTCTCCTACACGCACTTTCTTGTAAAACACGTTGTCAGAATAGATGCAACATGTAGTGACATGAATGAACTTTCAGGCCGCAATGAGAAAATGTTTGCGCCAAATCGATAAATCTAGAATTATCCGATTTGATACTGCTGAAGCCTTGATAAGATAAATATTATCGGATATGGTATATGTATTAGCGCCATATCCTTGGTACGGATGTGTTGGAGCCGGTAGAGATTTAGAGAAACTATGTCTATGGTGTCCAGCGCATTCGGTGCGTCAGATTTGGGCAAAAGACTTGTGATATATTGTAACGCTACGATTATTAACAGTCGCGGATACTATGTGCTTAACTTTCCTTAAGGATCAAAGACTGTGCCGCGGTCAACGGTCATCGTGCCGCGTGCACATGTACCGATTTGACATTTTTATAAGGATCTAGCCAGCGGAGTGGAGAAGGGAGGGAGTGCCTCCTGATAAGAGGACTGTGACAAACAGCACGGTATTTTGCATTTATTCTAGATTCTTTGAAGAGGAAGGTCGATTTTTAACATACATCATAAAAAGAGGTCAATGTGTAGCAGATGTCTAAAATAAATGTAGTCTCAGAATTCTACAACTATACGTACTTCATGAAATAAAAAATAACATAAATTACTGATTTTCTTGTACGCGTTTGTATACGTTGTTGTATTCGGCATCCCTATGGAAAATAAGCTCGGGTGATGATGATATAATCTTATGTTTTCAAGAACATAATTATATACAACGATGAGAAATTCAAGAGATCTGTATGCAGAATCCAGACAACGTCTCAATTGTTCTGGAAGTAGAAGGTATATGTATAAATAGTACATCTTGACGATTTAGAAGATAGGTCACTCCGAGCCCTATGATTCAGGGTTGATTTGAACCTCAGTGTCTAATAATAAGTTATTTTCGTACATTTATTAAAACTAGATATAACTACAGACCCAGAAAAAATTTTAGAGCCAAAGAGAAATGATTCTGTAAGTGTTTTTGAACAACAATTTCCCTTGCTAAAATGCAAAGTGGAGCATGATTTTTGAATTATTAACTAAAAACACTGACCAATAAGAGAGCGTGTAGGGCGCGCGCTAAGCCACATTCGATCATGATTCGAGCTAACCTACCCGCGGCTGGGCGCGAGTCCTACGCGTGCTCTCATTGGTAAGAGTTTTTCGTTAATAATTCAAAAACCATGGCTAAAGTTATGTACTATTACCATAGAGTTAGTATAGATAGAGTAGGCAAGCCCGGTAGGTAGGCGTCCGGTGAATAAAAAGAGAAAGGAAATTGGATTTGGTGGTGCTATCTTTCTCTCACGACGAAACAGAGAAGAAATAATAATACCAAGTTCGTTTTTTCTCTCTTTCTATCGATGTGATGTTTCCACTTACACGCGCGCCTATGTCTTGCCTACTCTATCTATACTAACTCTATGGCTATTACCCTGTATATTTTGCAATTACTACGGTAAAGTGGTTATACAACAACATTCAAGATGTAATACTTTTGCTATCAAGAATTTGTACAAGATATGAAAACACAACTACATGATCGATTACACGTGATTAGTCTTATCTACTTATTATCGTAAGAAAAATATAAAGAAAGGAAAGGAGATATTGGTATCCAGCAGTTAATTACTTTAAAGTAAGAAGTGGAATTTTTAATAATAAATAGACATTAAGGAAATATGATTCACATTAGCAGCATTAGCAATACCAAACCGTTTCTTTTTTTTCCTTTCTTAGTACATTATTTTTGAACGCGGCAGGGTTACCGATCGCGAAAAAGAAATCTTTATTTTTCTAATTCTAATTGGTATTAAATCGTGTCGTTTATTTCTGCGTACCCAGCTAATCCTCGCACTCCGGACTCCCGTTAGGCTATCTCTTAACAACTTACGAAACTGAAATAAAATGTCTGTAAAAAGGATTACTGATTTAAGACAGACTATGAGACTTCAGTAAAAGTGACATTTATTGTCTTGTAAAGTAACATTGCAATAAGCAAAAACTCTGAATATGAGATTCCTTTGATGTGTAGTAACAAAATTGTATCGTGATCTACAATCCGATTACAATATAAGTACATATACATATAATTATCTGTAGGTATAGTTTCACGTGAACTAAAAACACACACACACACACACACTTCTTCGTCACGGTCATTTCTAATTGCAATTTTATCGTGCACGTATTGTACGTACAAATACAGCCATTGAGTATTCACACAAGTTACTGTATACACATAAGAAAAGTTTAAAAAATCTAGTTCAAAGTGTAACGTTACATTGTTATCACAAAAATGAGTTTCACGTGCGATGTAATTCAAAAGATAATAAATAACCAATGAACATCAACCAACGTGTCAGCACTCGATGATGTCCTCAATTAAAATACTTTTCCACAATTGTTGAAGATTTTCGGACAATGTTTCCTTGCGACGATCGCGTATGGAACGTCGCTGTCCACGCGCACTTCTTCGTACCTACTGAGCTTGTTCCACACGTGAATAGCCCGTGCTTTCTTCACCAACTCCATCGTCGAGTTCTTGTCTTGGCTCTCGAAGTACATTTTCCACTTCTTGTAATGAATTGGATAAAAGACCGACGGGGAAAAAACTTTAAAACCATGACACCGCACAGTGGTCATCTCTCGAATCTGAGGAAAGTATGAATCGTCGTTTGCGTGTACACATTGTTGCCATTTCTTTGCAATAACAAAATCAAGGACGATTTAAAAAATGAGAAATTGCTAATGATTCAAGCATAATGCTTGATAATTAGTTGACTCAATCTTTCTACATGTCATATCAATAATATGTAGCATTTCATATTCAACGAATTTTGTCTTTATTATCTGAGAAATAAATACGTAGAATCGAATGACGTAAACGCATATTTTCAGCCAATTTAATCAGTAACAATGAGATTCTATTTTATTTCGGCGTTATCGGAGTCTACAGTAAGTACGTAAATTCAGCGAAAAATGGAGTCAATATTATTCAAAGTTAAACGACTTTTATCAGGTGCAGCTTATTTATTCTACACATTATTATTTCCTTATTTGACTTACATATTTCGTGGAACAAAGATTTTGTAACTCTCTCGTAATTACTCCAGGGCCATTATTACCCCAGATATCGCCACGGAAATTCGTCTTTATATCCTGAATACAGCTATCGGCCATACGTCGACCCAGCTCCGAGCCGTCAAACCCCACAGCACCGGCAGCCACATTTTTCCAGTCTTCGGCGCCGGCAAAATTTGTTAATTTTTCTAAACAACTGAAATCAAATATTTTCGTATTATTAAAACGATAGATCCTTGAACATTATCGCTTAACAAGATTTTAATCAAAACCTACTAAGGTCAACTTCGATTCACAATCAAATATTGACCATGATACCGTCTCTAGTAGGAAAGCCGTGATTGCGCTTACGTCGTGATAACGACGTCTAGGTCCAAGTATATTCCTCCATATTTCCATAGCGTTAGGTACCTAAGAATATCGGACATGTGACTCGTTGGCCAGTGACTCCGTTTTAATTCCCCGCTTTTGTACCATGATTCTAACGGCGAGTCCTTCACGTATTTCAACGGGTAGATATGTCTGATCCGAACGTTCGGATAGCTCTTCAATTGATTGAAGAGATCCCTCGATTGATTTGAGATCTTTGCGGCAGAAACAAACAGCAGGTACACGTTCATATTCGGGTTCATCATAGCAGCGGACTCCACTGCACAGGCTTGACGGGGGTTAATCACCAAGCCGTTTTCAGCGAAACATGATGTCTCGTGAAAGAAAATGTTTCTGTCACCCGCCGGCTCATCTGTTATTAATTAAGATAATGACAAGTAAATTTATCAAGTCTGAAGATTTGAAAAATTGTGTGACGCACATATCTGTCTGTGACAGAATGATACGGAGAATTAATTATCTTGTGTTAAGTTTACACTCATATCAGTTATTTACGTATCTTGTACTTCTCAGTTTAGGTCAGCTACAGACATTTGTTTTTTACTGATGGCGACGTGTATGCCGTTTAAAATACTATAGATTCAATTAAAACTAGCTATGGCATCGGATGTCTATGTTTTCTTAAGACTAGAACTACCAAACAACATGGTTGGTTTTCTGAAATGTATATATAGAAAGAATTTTCGTAAAAGAAGTCAGTAGTTTTAATATTAAACTTCTCGCACTCAAGATTTTGCTAACTAACTTTTTACCAATTAAGGACTAAATTGTTTTCAAATCTACTCTTCTCTGAAATGAAAATTCCAATACTCTCCTACATCTCAACTGTATCACGAATTTTGGCCCAGTATCAACAATGTTTTTTCATCTTTCACAATCACTGTGTTACGCAACGATCTACGGGATTGGAACCCAGACGTTAAAACGCTCTGCGTCAGAAGAAGATACGATCGACGCAATCGCATACATATTCGTTAATTGTAAGTATTTCATCAAATATCAATCAATGCACACATTCGTGATTTTTATTCCGTCACTCCGACAGATGTTCCAAAACAGATGTGTATAAACAGCGGGCCATACCTGTGTGAAAAGTTCTAGGTACGTCTAATGGATGAGTCTAAAATCATCTAAAAATGGATGAGTAACTGTTTTATCAATTCAAATGTCTGCCAATTTATACATTCCTCATTTTTTTGGTTGAACCATAATTTCGGTAAATGTTAAGAAGCAGATGTGTGACGAGCCTTACGTGCATGATATTAAATAGGTATTAAAAGATATACGAATACTTGTTTCATATACTTCCCTTGTTCAAACTATATGACCAACAGAAAAATTGTGACCTGAATACTGAAACGTGACGTTATAAAAAAAGAAAGACGCATACTGAGAAGAACGAGTATAGAAGTACGAACAAACTATCAAGAGTGATAAGAAAGCAGGATGCGATAACTTCTTTCTTTCCTCATACGAATCGTATAAATTACATTTAATTCATTAGCACAAAGTTCCACAATACCTTTTTTTAACTTAAACCATCGTTATTCTTGTTGATATACAGTGTGTCCCATTTTAATCAATAAATCCGATTATCTCGAGAACTATTCATTATTTTGAAAAATGTTTCATGAGAAATTTGTTCTGCTTCGAGGAGGGCGTAATTCAGCGCCGCTATTTTGTTCGTAGGCGTAAGCATGAAGAGCACATGAAGGCCATATTTATTTCTCTAAATGAAATCGTATAATTTTTTATGCACTGTTTGATGCGTCTCGGTATTCTGAATAAAAATGTATTAATCTATTTATTCTCGAGATAATCGCATTTATTGATTAAAATGGGACACCCTGTATAAATGAAACAGTTATTGAAGATATCCAGTATTGTGTTTTTAAGTTCTTTTATGATTCGACCTATTATTCTTAACTAGTAATTAGATAGTATATAATTCGATGTGCATACCTGACACCGGATCGAAATCTGGAAGGCCATCCGGAGCGTTTGGTATTTCGTAGCACGTGATTTCGTTCGCGTCGCTGACCACTAATAATGACACATGTTGAATGAAATTGTTGTCCGTGAATATTGTCAGGATAAAGAACACGATGACACCAAAAGTGTAAAGCAATAATCGCTTCCTCATTCTTCTTGTACGAGCATTTTCCAATTAAATGTATTCACGGGTGCAAAAATGCACTGACAATGAGAGCACAAAACGATTTTGTATTCGCGATGTTCGTTTAATCAATTCCGGCGCGAAAACTTATGACATGGGGATGACACTGGAAATTGATAAGAATATCTATAATTGACAGTATTCTTGCGTTAAGCAATGATTACAGTGAAATTACTAATAAATTAATAACAAGAGATTAGCAGTATTGAGAAACTCTACTTACTTTTATTTTTCTTATTGTAATCCTAAGGCTTCGAGGCGATGCCGCCGGTAGTTGTCGATTGATTGTAGCGTCTGTTTTCCGGCGAACAATTTCCTACCCTTCTTCCTCGCGTTCTCGCGTGGAAGTAACGATCGGTCGATGTTCCCCATCCGTGAACAAGCCACATAGACGTTTCACAAGCAAACATCTTATTTGCATGTAACAATCGCACAAGCGTTCAAAATTCGAGGCATTGACACGTCTTGAAATATGATAACGACCTTCTTATCATCCAAAGTAGGAAGTCTTGTAAAAGAAAATTAACAGAACTCAGCTCGTTCTTCGACTCGTTGCATGATCAAAGCATACTATCGTGCTCGTGCGCGGTCCATGGAATTAAACGCACGCGCAGTTACGAGTTACCACATATAACTTTACGTGTTTACATGTGCATATATGTTTCTATACAGTCGCCAGTTCATAAATAATTATAAAATCCGTTTCACAATGATTATACAGTCAGAACACAATCAGCGACGATCAAGGACTCTCGATTCATTTACGTTTTACGATCAATTCCATCATAGAAATCTCGACGTCTAGCAGTGTTTGTCTTCTTATTCATCATTCATTACTTCCTTAGGATAGATCGGTCTATACCGATTGTTATTTCATTCGATCTAACCGCATACTATAAATACTCTCATTACATTATATATTAACGATTGTAAATAGTGTCATTTAATGTAATCTGATCGTACTGAGACTGCTAGTCCCGCCAAGTAGTAAAACGGTCAGACATCCGTCGCAGTACTACCTATGCTCGTAAATTTTTCATTAGCATGACTCATTCATCACATGCAACTTCATTTATTTCTATTCACTGTTTAAGCTGTTCTAGCGCTACCGCTTATATCATTATTAAGAAATAATACAGTATTTATCAATTTTTTGTAGAATCATCACTGACGAACACTTTTACGACGAACAAGCATTGCTGAGTAACTTCACATGGAATGGGTTTCAAACCTTAAAAAATATTATCATAAAACTTTCTTGGAGGACATTACTGTCCTCATTTGAATTAATATCAGAGCCGGAATTACTATACACACATGATGGACACGATGATTTTACACGATTTTTTGCCGATTACCATGTAAAAGAATGATTACTAACTGTATTTGGAATCCATTGGCTGTACTAACGATTATACGTGCGTGTATCTTATCGGTGCATGTTAATGGGCGCATTTACCTCACCCTCACCCTGTGCTTATTATATTCAGTACATTCTAGAACCTTACTTCTCACAAACAATTAAATAAAAAAATAGCCTAATTGTAAATATAAAATGAAGTATTTATTTTCGTGTATTATACTTACCATTTAAAAATGAGAAGCCATTATAATCTAATAAACTAACTTATGACGGCCCAATAATACCGACGCTAATTTCTACAAACCAAATGTTGAATTTAAAAGTATTGAAAAATGCTGAAGGTTTATTTGTATTATTGAAGCAAATAAAAATGTATGTAAAGAAATCTACTAATGGTTAAAAATACGTGGAAGCAATTGGTAATAATTGCGAACTAAAATGTTACTATTTTCAGTTCTCTTTATCTGGAAAACCGTGAAAATTTATGATAGTTATATGCACGTCAGTATCTTAATTATAATTGTCATTTTTAGCTCTAAATTTAAAACATCACATAATGTGGTTTGACATTCGTGGAAATCGACAGAAATCAGTCTCTTGCGATTCTTTCGTGAGCCATTATATAATTTGTCGTTAGATTGTAATTATAAAGTATGTTTCCGCTACATCAATATGTGATTTAATTGACCACGCAGTCTTATAAATTATGTAACTGGTTGAGGTGCAGTACGAAACGCAATCTGTACAGCTTTTACAAAATAATTACTGGTAGAAAAAAGTCAATCTTTAGACCTTTCCATTTTTTTATTTCTATAATTACGATTAAGATAATGCAGCCTCAATTTTAAGAGACATTTCATTCTACAAGAATTCTAATTCGAATTGCACACATACAGTTCAGGTTGCAGCGAAAGAGATAAATTCGCGATCGTACTTGCCGTGAGCTGATAAATCTAGTAAAATTATAAAGAAGACGGCAATGTAAATATATTAAAAAAGTAGATGAATCATAGTACATATAATAAGGCTATTAATTTTATTTTGTATCTTTTGTATTTTCCTTATAAAATAATCAAGTCGGTAACATATTATTGATAGGTAAAACGTGTTGAACTCATGAAGCGCTTCAGACAAATCATACTATGTAGCGCTTATCGATTAATTTACCATAAAAATAATTGTTTCTTGTCAAATACATTTACTACGGTTTGTTATCAAAGACTTATTGTTATTTAATATACTTCCTTCTATAATTTATTTGAATATTGCGTAGGCGAGGATTAATAATTATAATTAATCACTGTGTCAAAAATAATTAAAACGATCATAAAATCGATATCTACGTAGAAATTGGGCAACGCGCGGGAAAATCTATCGTAATCACGGTATATAAAAGTGAGTAAGCGTCACGGGGAGGAGGGGCATGGAGAGGGATCGAGAGAGAAAAAGAGAAAGAGGGAAGGGCACGGGGGAGGGAACCGGTGGAAGCTGGCTGAATATTTTTACCCAAGCCTGTTAACTACACTCTGTTATTTTATCTCACATACGCAGTTTTTCCACCACTACCACGGCGTCGCGCAGGAATATAAGTTTTAAGGCGTGTTTTGATAGCGTCAGGGTGTGTCAGCTGGGGCTTCCTACCTAATGGATCACTTCTTCGTTTATTCGTTCATACTTTTTGAAGTATATGACCCCATGATACCGCGAACATCCCCGATAATTTTAGTCGTATCCCAATTATTCGTGGACCTCGAAGACGCCGAGAGGATTTTCCAACGCGCGTTCAACTCGCTCGTTATGCGAATTAAAAACCGTTAAACAGATAGAGACGAGGTCGTCTATAATTAAAGGCAAGGTCTGTCACGTTCACCTACGCGCGCCTTCAAATCGCGTTACACATTATAAAATGATTGCAACGGGTTCTAAACTGCTCCGACGACAAAGTGACGGCAATTAAAACTTTATCGCCTAAAAGGTGTGAAAAGGGGAGGATAAAAGTGGCCCATCACGTGCGCATATTTACGTAAAACAATATTTTCGTTGGCTCTAAGAAGGTGGTGACAGAGAGCACTGCCTTCTCTCTCATTCTTTTTCCTTACCAACGTACTGCTGTACAGTCTACGTGAAGACACCATCAATCATCGACTTCCTATGCCAGGTCCGACGTACCATCGCGCAGTCGAGAAAAATGTAATAATAGATCTAAAAAAGTTGCACCAAGTCGAATATTTACAACATTATTCGTATTCCAAAACATGTTTCCGAGAAGTAATATCATTGGTACCAGAGCATTACGTAAAGAAAATAAAATGCACATTAAACTCACTATGTACAGTCCAGATTAAAAAAATATAAAGAAAACGAAAACAATTTTGTTATATTATTAAAATTGTAATTATTATTCAAGCTGGTATCACAGAAATTGAAGTGTCTCAATTGCACTTAAATCTAAAAAATCTAAATATATCATATTAGTATGCAAAAACTGTAGGTTCAGTGTTAATATATTTTGCTACGTGATAAGGTAACAACTCGGAAAACACGGTAGGGACGAGCGAAATAGGATAAAGAGATTACGTAATATACTCAAAGAAGAGACGACAAAATCGATTGGTTTGTTAAATAACAGAGCGTGTTGTGTTAGGTTTGCTATAATAACCAAACAATGCCACGGTTTTGTGGCCGGTGTAGAACTCGGTTCATTCAGCTTCTCTTTCGCACCGTTACCTTCTGTTCATTCATAAGTCTCTTACGCGGGGATACATTAAGGAATTAAATATTCTTCGCGCGCGTATGTTAATCGTGTATAAATACATTTCCTGTTTTACTCGACGTCCTCTCTTCACAGTTTCATCGGAACGAAAACAATTTCTGATGAAACACGTAGTCGCCAATGATTCTACTTTCCGATTAGCGTACCCGTATGAATGTATTTAATCACAGTCGATCGAACTTCCAGAAATCCATCTCGCGTATAGTAGCGCGCGTAAAGGGAGAGCCGCAAGAACGGGCGTTGTTATTACAGATGCCACTCGTCCAGGATCCCGGGGTATATTTCAAGCACAAAGAAGCCTCCTTCCAATCCGGAAGAGTGACGCCTAATTTTCGGCATCGGGAGTTTACAGTTTTCAGAAAAATTACAGATTCCGAAAAGGTTACCACACGAGCTACGCAAGTCCGGTGTAGCTAAACTCGTCGATTCTAAAAACTATATTTCTTCTACTTTCACGAAATTTACTATCTGTATCAGACAGTTTCTACTAGATAGGAAATAGTGAACAAAGGAAATGCAATTTCGAGAGAACGATTTTGAATAGTCTACTTAAAGACGTTTTACTATATAAATAAAATGGAGTTGAGAAGAGAGAAAGAAAGAGAGATTGGAAGTGATACAAGCAAAACATGCAATTAAGTATACGTATATCAAATATTATATCTTATGTAGAGAATTATTGTGTATTGAATGTTTATAAGTATATTATAAACGTATTATCATGAAATGTACCATTCCTTTCAAAGCCGAAAAGCATGAAATAAACGATTACTATTATTAGTGAGTAAAGTAAGTGGAAGATAGGAACGGGGTGAGAGGCGAAGGAAAATCGACGAAATAAGGAGACACGGAGGGGGGAAATTCGTACTGAAATAACATAGGATGACTGTGGCATTGTCAACCCCGGGGTAGTTGCGCGCGCCCTCGCGTTTCTCTTCCCAGTTTCACCCTCTACGAACCCCTTGGAATCGCGTCTTTCGTTCTCCTACCGGAACCGTCCTATCCTAGCTCCGGTTTAGGTACCAGAATGTAGGTGCTGCTAGGATAGAATAGACAGGGCTGCCAGGAGGGATGAAACAACACCTCGTTCCCACCGGCTTCATCCCTCTTTCATCGTTTGCGGCCGCCTTTTTCTCCCTCTACCTACCACCCCTCTGACGGCCTCTCTTTTGGCAGCACCCTATTCCCGTTCGCTCTGTCCGCGGTTCCCTAAACGCGGCCAATAAAAACAACACCACGAGACCGAACGCAGGAGGATATCGAGGATACGGTGAATTATAAAAATAACAGTGCGAAACGATCGAACAATCGGCTGATTCAGTCTGTCTCGCTTCTGTCTGCGGCTTCGTGAAAAATTCTGCCCCATTCACAAGGACTGTGACAACTGTCCGTCGCCGTTCTACGGTTGTTTGTCTTCTTATTGTGCGCGGACGGGCGAAAATTACTGGAAAGGACCATTATTGTACGAATAAATAATAGAGAAACGTCTGAATGTCCACGATTTTTTCGAGATTCTTTCGGAAAATGATTTTCACAAATGTTCCCGAAATTCCAATAAGGATGCGAGATAGAATCGTCGGATGGAACCGAAATAGAAGTGAACTTTCGTGCTCCTTTCCTTCTTTCGTTCCGGCCGATGCTTCCCGTCTTTCCACTGGCATTCCATGGATTTTCTTGCGGGTTTTCGCGGCTCGATTTTCTTGTTCCCGTCCCGGATTCTTCCTTCTTCTACCGGTTTCCTCCGTCGTGCACGCGAGTCCACGGCACGGACGCCTACTCGCGCCTCGGCGAAGTCAAAGAGAGATAAAATCTATAAATATGTGGGAGGCGCACGCGACCCATTCCAGTGTTTGTTCAACCAGGAATAACCTCCCGTTTCTTCATCGTACGCCGAACCCCGAGAAGAGGCTGGTTTTGTGGCTTGACGCAAGCCTAATCCAGGGTGATGCTTCGTTAACCACCTCCGCTGAACGACTGTCTAACATTTTCATTTTCAAGCTCATCCGCGCTAGTCTCTCTCGGCGATACAATAACTCCCTTCTCCTACCTCGTCGTGAAAGAACCGGCAGGAGATCGTGAATTTAATACACATTAGTTTACTGGAAACAAAACTTCGTACTAAGATCAATCAAACCAGTTAGACGGAATTTATAAAGAAATATATTGGGTTGACAAGTTTGCTTTTTATAACGAAAGCTGAAATTACTTTTCTGCCAATTTAATAATACTAAAAGAAATAATGGCATCATGAAAATGTTAAATATTGACCAAGTTTGGGAAATGATTACTCAGCAAGAAATTCAATCATGGGGCGATAGGTTTTCTTTTAAATTAAAGCTTGAAAATCAAAAATGCTATCCACCGATTTTTATACACATATGAATCATTCCTACGACAGGCAACCCTTAAATCGTCTTTCGATCTCGGGCAGTTTTCGACACTTTGATGATCCAATAATTGTTTTGGCTACTGCAGATAAGTTCAATAATGATTGTTCTGCTATTAAATATCATAATTTAATTGTTTCGTCGATCATTAATTACTTTTCTTTGATATATCTAACATATTTCTTGAAGCGTCACCCCTAATCATCTGCCGGTGGAATTCAGACGATTTGTCGGCGCGAGTTCCACGGGACGTTCGTTCCGGCGGTAGCAAAAGTTAGTTAGCCCTACGCGAACCGCGGCAGCAGACGGGAATTAGTTAGCGGTAAACACGCCTCATCAATCTTCCTCGAACACGTTCTCTTCATCATCGCGGCATGGCACCGGTGTAACGACGATCTAAAATACCCGCGACACATGTCGTCATTAAACCGGCGCCTGACTAAGAACTACATAATTTTCTGGCCGAACCGCTGATTCACAGTACCTCGCGAATTTTCAAGACAAGATTTATCGACGATTAAAACGTTTTGACGACGTAACGTTGAAAGAAAGATACATGGTTAAATAAGTCGATGATCGTTGATGATCTGACGGCAGGTCAGCGCAGGTGCCGCAATTAACAGAAAATCTTTTGATGGCCGAGAAGTGACGTAAAGCGAGACGGAGACCAGAAGCAAGAAAGGTCGGCCATTCTCGACACCTGGCAACAGCCAATGGTGGGATAAAGCAGACAGGAGAGAGCTTTTGGTCCTCGAACGCCACACCCTTCATTGTGACCACATATCGACCGAGTCTCTCACGGCTTGGGGCTGCGTTCCCCGTACTAATTGTAAGTACTTCACGTAGTACGTATATACCTACTTGTACGCGCATGTGTGCGGCTGCAACGCTGAAACGCTCCCAGCTCTGCGCGAGCGCGCACAGACTTGGACCTGGTCTCGGTCTCGTGCCACTCAGGGAATGATGGACGGATTTTTGGACTTACGTCTCATTGGAAATAAATTGAAACACGTAATTTCTGTGATAAGTCTTTTTATTAAATAGTAATTTTTGTACATATTGGAAACTGAGATTTATTGAGTTAATAGAAGAGATTAACAATTGGTCGAAAGAGAAATTATTTTTAAACAGTAAAAAATATACTTGATGACCAATTTAGGATGATTAAGATTCGCTGGAGCAATAAGTTGTCAGTGATAGTTTAAGAAGCATTGGCCGTGAGCAATAGACGAGCATTCCGTGCGGTCAGGTTGAGGGCAATAACCATCCACTTTAGTCTCAGTATGGCTGCTATATCGCGCGAGAATGCGGAGCTACCCTAAGCAACCCTCGAACAATATTTTGATATCCCCCGGCCCAGGACTTTTCTCCTCTTCCAATCCGCCACATATCAACGGCAGGAAATTATTTTTCACACTCCCGTATCCTTTGCTCCCTACCAAAACCGTAATGCTATCTCCTTGGAAAAGGAACCCTTGCCTATAAAAAAACACGTTCACTTATTACGTGGCTAATTACACAGTCCAAAGGAAAAAGTTTTTGTTCATTTTCTGCAATATCCACCACATAATTCAAACAAATTCGAAAGAATTATTGTATCATGTATCGTTCCCAAAAAATAGTTTTTGTAAAAATTGTATGATTTTAAGGAAAAATGAGATATTACATGTTTCTGTATCAGAAATGTCTGTAGAATCCAACAATGTATAGCAAATTCCTGTTGGATAAAGGGATCTTCACATAAATTCAAAAACAGTACGTATAAAATATTCACCATAGCTCATTTTCAAACTTTAACAATTATTTACAGATAGTAAAAGAAAAGGTACGACAACAAAAAGTGGTGCTGATTCAAAAATGATCTTTCTCGTGTTTTTATAGTTTTTCTGTAATACCTGTCATCCATAATTGTATATTTTTACAAAAACTGCTAGTTTTCAGAAACGGTACGTGACAGAGCATTTTGGTTCCCGGATTCGTTTTTGACATGAGAAACTATAAAAATTCCGTAGTGGATATTGCAAATTGTACAATGTTATTGACAGTCCAGGCTTGGATTATTAAATTCTTACAATCGTTTACAAACTTCCTTCAATTAGGTACTCGGTAGGATATTAATTTAAACGCTTCTGGCTGAGAATTTATTTAGCGGTCGAGCAACGTGTCGACCGGTTCTACTGAAACAGTGAATCAGCCCGAGCCCAGGACTATCTTGCACGGAAGCTGGCGTAACACAGTGTGCATGCATACCTACCTGTAGACAAACGTGGACGTAGCGGGCATGGCAGGTCCAGCCTAAATGTTATTTCATGGGACAGAGATTGCTTCTTCAGGTAACACGCCACCGCCGGCCTAGACGTTGGACCTGCTCGGGAGAGGAGTTCGTCAAATATGTATGCGGATAAACACGGCCAACGTTGACAGAAATAATATCCGCGGGTGAAGGCGATTGCACCTGCCGGCCTCGAGTAGAAAAAGAATCCAACCCCGGCTTGAACCGATCGACCACTTTCGATGGTTTCTTTGCAACCCGATTCGTCGACGCCGATACTTCTGCTCCTATCCCTACGTTCAACGATTTTTGGTTACACTTTTGGTTACACATTAGTCATGTCACAACGAGAACGGACATATTTCTCAATATCTTCAAAGATTTAAATTGGGTTCAGCGAAGGTTGTACCGATAAAAGTTTCGTCAGATCAAATTCGGTTTCTATTCGTCGGAGATTACGGATAAACCAGAATTGTCAGTGATCCTTGGGATCATATTGACGAGGAATAACTGCAATAAACTCGCCTCTATTCTGTCGAATTACACGCACCGATTCGAGCCCGCCGAAACCCAATGATCTGTTTCCACAACAGCGTCATCGGACTGCGTGGGATCACAAAAGGAATCAAATTCGTGTCGCGTTCACCGCGTCGAATCGAGAAAATCCGGCCGAGGAATTTCTGTTCCCGAGCAAGTGCAGAATTCCGGCACGTCAATACCAACAGGTAATCTTTTAACAACAGGTAATATAATAAATGTTCCAATTTCTGTTCACGTCACAAGTTTTACTGATTGCCGTATTTCTAAGACAAATAAGAATTAGTTTAGGTGATAGTTCCGGGAAAATAAAGTAAAAAGCAGGTTCAACACTGAAAACGATAGAAAAAATAAGCCAGTGAGTGAAAATTAGGATATTCACAATAATACTTTCCATTACAGAAAATGGCATTTAATTTACTTATCTTTTACTAACGCATCAATTAAATGATTTTGAACTTTTACGTTTCGAGATAATTAAATGGATATTAAATTAAACGAGTTCTCAATTGAATTAGACAGATAAGTGACATGCGAAATTAAATCGAGTGAAACGAGTGCACAATTCGACACAGGTGTTTCAATATTGGATCCAGCGGATGAAGACACGAGTCCTATTGTGAGTAACGATGAAATGACCGAGAAATCGTGAGCTGACGTTCGAACATAATGGCACAGGATCCAGGATCGAGGATTTCGATCCTTTTCAATGGATCGCATGCATTCCATCGGACCACCGGCAACAGACCATGCACTTACTCGCTGATTCAACATTCTCTACGCATTGTCACGCACCTAAAAGGATACAATTCGGATTGAATTTCTATCACGGTGGTCCATCAATTTCCACTTTATTCCCGTTCTATCGAAACGTGAAATATCTTGCGTTTTGTACCGATCTGTCCGCGATACGAGAATTGCGAGGAGTTCACTCGTATCGGCGACGTAATAATAATAACAATAACGGCGGCGGGCGTCGGTAACGATTTTAATAAATTTGGCGCTGGCTAAGCTGCAACAACAGCGGCTGGGTATGAATTAAGAGAGGACCCCGGAGAACACCGCTTGGGTAAACATCTCGAATTAGGCACCGGGATATTCTTTTCCGTCCATCCGCGTACACCGGGGAAGCTTTACGACTTCGGTATGTTTCGTGGCCGACGTTTTCACTTGATTTGTATATGAGCGGTTAGCACCGTGGCAATGTTGCGGTACGAGATATATATTTTACAGTCGAGGGATATCCTCCAGGATTAGCCTGGCGAGTCCTTAATCCGTCTAACGTGACTGCTCTGATCGATTGATACCATTTCTTTCCACGAGCACACGCGATGATAAAATCTAATCTGAAGGAGTTGGAACTTCGTTTCCTTAATGTCATAAGCTGTCTAGAATATTAGGTATGCAAGGTTGGGAAATATGAAGAAAACAATTTAATGGTTGACGACTGACGTGACATTCGAATGCAAGCTGCGTCTTGTCTGGTGCGAAAAGGAAGCGAGGCACTTTCGAGCTTAGACGGCCTACGTGTACGCGACAGGACGCACACGCGTCGCGTGAATCTCGACGTCCCGTGAATGAAATATCTTCAATGCGCCTCGTCGAGTAAAAATGAAAACTGTAAGATCGTCGAAAAATTGAGGGAACTGAAATTTCTCTATTATGAATGAGAAACAAGTATTATTGTGGATAATAAGTTAAGAATATGGAATGATAAAAATATAAAGGTTGCTCTATTCTAGGATGATATAAAATGGTACGCAGAAAACGGTGGAATAATAAAGTGTTCAAATAGCAGAATGTTCGAGTGCTTTAATAATAATTGAAGTTTGGATAAGAGAGTTCTCGCGTATTTTCAAACGTGCGCGCGATGGAGCCGTGACATTTTTACTATTAATAATTTTCCAAGACATGTTTGTCTAACAAAAATGAAACGCGAACAATAATCTTCGAACAGCTTTCAGTTTGGATTTCTCCTGTATTATTTCATTCGAGAAATGCGAAAATCCAGGTATGAAGCTTCAAAGAGTTTCAAATTATACCAGAGTGGTTTGCTATGTAACAATTTATATTCAAATTACTTTTGTAAGAAGTTCGGTACGGAATGAACTTTTAATACCTCCAACGGGATCTTTATTCACGCCGTAAATGACTGATATCCAGCATCGACGATAATTTCCTATTTGATTTTTATAGATTTCTAGGAAACATGCATTCGTTCATAGAATCGCGAATCGTATCGTTTGACGATTGTTCAAAAATAATCTTGGAAACGTTGAAACGCCGAATTCGACGATCCTATAAAACGAATTCTGTGTCGCAAGGCTCGAATAATCGTCGACGCGAATCCGTCAGCAGAGGCACTGCGACTCGACGCAGATAATGGCGTCGAGCTGAAAATGCGACGGATGGAAACGATGCCTGTTGTTATTTTATGGGGGCGGAATACTGGGGCCGGGCAGACCGAGAGGGAGGAGGGGGCCTCTAGTTAAACCGATTTGCACATCGGATGCACTCTCGATTCCTCGAACAGCGGACAATTTCACAGGGCTCTATTTACGCTGCTGCCTCCACCGAGGCATCGCCTCTCTGCCAGCCGACCAACCTACCCCAACTCGTTTACGTGTTTTCCTCTTTCCCGTAAATACGCCCACGCTGATCTGCTTTTCCACGGCTCGATCCAATTTTTTTGTTTGCTCTCGATAAAAGAAAAATTGCCAGTCGGTTTATTCAACTCACCCAAGTTTTCATATCTTCAAACCCGAGCTTGAATTTATTTATCACAGAGCATTATGTTGATTAATGAAAAAAATGTTGCCTACTTAAGAAAATGGATACCCGACATTTTTTTACAAACTTCTCATGAAGAAAAACTTAAACGTCGCATAGAACCGAGTGGCGAAGCTACCTGAAAACGCGAGTAAGCACATAGGTATCCGAGACACATATGTACATATGTAACCGTGTACACGAGACAACCGCAACCCTCCGCGGTGCACAAAAGATTTAGAGAAGTTGCGGCTGAACAAACACCGCCGGCATAAGCGCACGTTCCTCCCCTTCGGCTTTTCCTGGACGAGCCACCCGTAAATGCCTGCGCCTCCTCTCTACGCGTCTCCTCACCCTTCCCCTGATAACGTTTTCCTTAACAGCACCACCTTTCTGTCCATACCGCGTTCACCTCAGTTGCAGCTATTTCGCCAGAAATCGATGTCGCGGTACTAAGAATATTAGGCTTCAATCTCGTTTAACGCTGTGTGACCTGCAATTGACCTGGCCCTCCGTTTGCACTGTATTTCACAATGCATTTCTATGTTTCAAATTATTTTTTGTGTAGTATGCCTTTTTTAAAAGAAGCCTTATATGTATGTATGTTTCTACTAATCAGTATTTGTATGACTTTTTTTACTCAGCACGTATTCACCGTGTAAAAGGAGAGTCAGGTATACAATTTTCTAATCTCCCATTTTTTATTATTAGAAAATCTTGAGTATTAGTGAGATAATTTTGATAATTTAAAAGTGGCAAAATATTTGGTTGACACAGAGACAGTGTGTGCTATTTGTTATCGAACGATTGAGAGCCTATCAGAATCTAATGCAGCCACGATCAGCAGGAATTTGGCAGAGATATCTGATAGAGGGAGAAAGTCGGAGCCATCGAACGACGAAAGTCGTCGGCTCGTCACCTCGTCAGGAGAGCGTTTAGCTTCCGTTTCGTTTGGTCGGAACACAGATCGGCTGTCTAAAAGACACGAAGCAACAGCCAAGACAAACCTTAAATGCTTGCTAACCAAACAGTCGGAATTAGCCGCGTTACCCGCCCACGAGGAAACCGGTGCTTTCGCCGTTTATTCCTCTCTATGGCTATTATCTTCCACGGTCCCGTACTACGATTAGGTTGTTCCGCGTGGCCCGGTCGTACACTTTTCTGGAACTCCATACGCGTTCAACCGGTAAGCTTCCCTTCGGCTTACGAATTTTACTTCCCTCACGTACGGAGTTATAATTTCTATATTTTAATGTGCAACACTTTTATACTAACGATTGTGAGCCATTGTGTGTAGAGGACCGTTTGCTCGTTACATAAAGATTACTACTCAATTATATCGAATCGTTTCTCATTCGTCGGGCGGATAGGGGAGATAGAAACATTAGACGACGAGCGTGGAGGAGGAAACGACCTGGCTCGGGACAGTCTGGCAGTAGATTTATTTCCTTAAGGCAGACAATGAGGAAGGAAATGCGGCTGATACGTTTTCAAGAAAAATAAACGTCTCGCGGTGGTAGCTGAGGCAGGAGGACGCATAAGGGGACGAAGTTGGACTTTCTCGTTGAACTTGCTTTTCTATCCGTGGGTATCGGTCGTATTGTGTTTTTAAGCTTTAGTCAAAATAATATAATGGGTTGCCCGGAAAGTTTGATTTTCGATAGGCGCCATTAGGACATCTGATTCTTATCAATTAGTAAATATTTTTCTACAGTTTTTTAACATAAAAATCTATACATTTCGAACGAGACACAAGACTGTTTTATTATATTATTCGATTTTAATGATACGAGATTATAAAGTTCGCAATTTCTCAAAGGTAGCTTGCCAATTTTTTCGGCGAGCAGAATGAAGCGGAATCGACGGTTTTCCCGTTAAAACGAGAGAAACCTGCCCGGCGCCGATAGGATTGAATCCCGGGCTGGTACGAGGGTGCGAAGTTGAAAAGGGCCCAGGCGGAATTCAGGCGGACAA